GATTATCTAGTATTTCACTGTATGGATGAACAGATTTTTTTCAATCGTTTGCCTAGTGATGGTCACTGGGGTTGTTTCCAATATTTTGCAACTATAAGCAATGCTTCAATGAATAAGTGTTCCATTTTTTACATCTACAAGTACCTATAGACAAACTCCTGGAAGTGGAGTTGATGGGTCAAAGTTTTGTGTAGAATGCCCCCTTCCTGGTAGTGGCACCAATAGAGTGCCCAGTCAATTTTGTGGATGCTTGCTAATCATTGGTGAAGAAATTTTATTTCAAAATTTTAACTTGCATTTTTCTTTATACAGAAGAGGTTGAAGGCCATATGATGGCACACACCTGTAATTCAGTGGCTGGGGAGACTGAGGAAGAAGGATCTCAGCAACTTAGTGAGGCCTTAGCAACTCAGCAAGATCCTGTCTCTAATTAAAAAAAAAAAAAAATATATATATATATATATATATATATATATGTGTGTGTGTGTGTGTGAATGAGCTGGGGATATGGCTCAGTGGTTAAGCACCCCTGGGTTCAATCTCCAGAACCAAAAAGAAGAAGTTGAACTTTTTTTTTCAAAACATTTTTGTCAGCTTTAATTCATTAATTAATTTTTATGTGGTTCTGAGTATCGAACACTAGGTTTGATATGCTAGGCAATCGCTCTATCACTGACCCACAACCCCAGCCCCTTGAACTTTTTTTTTTCCTTACGATTAAGAGTCATTTGTATTTCCTTTTGTATGAACTCCCCTCATTTTTCTGTTAAGATTTAGAATTTCTAGGCTGGGGATGTGGCTCAAGCTGTAGCGCGCTCGCCTGGCATATGTGCGGCCCGGGGTTCGATCCTCAGCACCACATACAAACAAAGATGTTGTGTCCGCCGAGAACTAAAAAATAAATATTAAAAATTAAAAAAAGATTTAGAATTTCTAATTGCTAAGAGTTATCTCTTTAATATTCTTTCTCAGAATATTAAAGAGATAACTCTTTCTCCATGATATGTGTTGAGGCTATTTCTTCCTTATTAATTATTTGTCTTCTGATTTTGCTTATCATGCCTTTTTTAAATTTTTTTTTTTTTTTGAGGTGCTAAGGGATTGAACCCTGGGCCTAGTGCATGTAAGGCAAGCACTCTACCAGCTGAGCTATATCCCCAGCCCTGGTTTGTTTGTTTGTTTGCTTATCATGCTTTTAGCCAAACTTTTTTATAGTCATGTCTTCTGGATTTTGAGTATTACAAAGACCTTCTTGACTCTAGGATTAAAAAGCAATGTCCTGGGGCTGGGGCTGTAGCTCAGTGGTAGGGCACTTACCTTGCATGTGTGAGGCACTGGGTTTGATCCTCAGCACCACATAAAAATAAACAAATAAAATAAAGGCATGCTGTCCATCTACAACTACAAAATAAATACATACAAAGAAATGTCCTCATTTTCTTCTTATTCTTTTTTTTCAATTTTTTACAACTTTTTAAATATTTATTTTAGTTGACAGACCTTTATTTTATTCATTTATTTGTATGTGGTGCTGAGAATTGAACCCAGTGTTTCACACATGCAAAGCAAGTGTTCTACCACTGAGCCACAACCCCAGGCCCTCTTCTTGTTCTTTTATGATTGTATGGAATATATTTATACCATTTTAGTTTGGAGTTTATCTTTGTATATGGGATGAGGCATACACCCAATTTTATATTTTTTCAGATGGCTATATTTCAGTGCCAATACATGTATGGAATAGTTCCATCTTAATCTCAGTGATTTGAAATGCTCTACCCCCCTACACACACACATTTTTTTATTGGTGCATTTTAGTTGTATATAATAATAGTATTTGTTGTTGCATATTCATACATGCATACAGCATAACAATTTGGACAATTTGGATCCCCAGCACTTGCTCCCTACAACCCCTCCTCTCACCCCCTGGTCTCCCTACTTTATTCTGATCTCTCTTTGGAGATGTTGTCAGATACCAAATTCCTCAAATTGTTGGGTACAGTGGGGCATGCCTATAATCCCAGCAGCCCAGGAGGCTGAGGCAGGAGGACTGAAAGTTCACAGCCAGTCTCAGCAAATTATTGAATCCCTAAGCAACTCAGTGAAACCCTGTCCCTCAATAAAATATAAAAAAGGATTGGGGATGTGGCTCAGTGGTTAAGTGCCCCTGGGTTCAATTCCCAGTACACACACAAAAAAGAGGAAAATAAAAACCAAAACTGTCTCTAAATTCCTCAAATTACTCCAGTGTATTTCAGAATTTTCTATTATATTTCGTTAGACTATACATGCACTAGCAATATAGTGTCTCATAAATTAAGGCTGGTAAGTCTAGTGTTCTTGTCACTTTTTTTTTTTTTGAGCTGGGGATTGAACCCAGTGTTTTTACACATGCTAGGCAAATGTTTTACCACTGAACTACATTTCCAGCCCCTTTGTTATGCTTTATTTTCAAAGTTTTCCTAGAATATACACTTGCCTTTTATATTTCTTGTTGATTTCCCTCATTCATACATTAGAATCATTTCATCTGGCATGGTGGCCTACACCTATGATTCCAGTGACTCAGGAGGGTTCAGAACTTAGTGAAACCCTGTCTTATTTTTTTTTATTATTAGTTGTTCAAAGCATTACGAAGTTCTTGACATATCATATTTCATACATTTGATTCAAGCGGATTATGAACTCCCATTTTTACCCTATGTACATATTGCAGATTCACATCGGTTACACACCTACTTTTTTACCTACTGCCATACTAGTGTATGTTGTATTCTGCTGCCTTTCCTATCTACTTATCCCCCATCCCCTCCCCTCCCCCCTCCCTTCCCCTCCCTTCCCATCTTCTCTCCCTACCCCATCTACTGTAATTCATTTCTCTCTCTTGCTTTTTTTCCCCTTTCCCCTCACTTCCTTCTATATGTAATTTTGTATAACAATGAGGGTCTCCTTCCTTTACCATGCAATTTCCTTTCTCTCTCTCTTTCCCTCCCCCCTCTCATCCCTGATTAGTGGTGATCTTCTTCTCATGCTCTTCCTCTCTATTCTGTTCTTAGTTTCTCTCCTTACATCAAAGAAGACATTTGGCATTTATTTTTAAGGGATTGGCTAGCTTCACTTAGCATAATCTGCTCTAGTGCCATCCATTTCCCTGCAAATTCCATGATTTTGTCATTTTTTAGTGCAGAGTAATACTCCATTGTGTATAAATGCCACATTTTTTTATCCATTCATCTATTGAAGGGCATCTAGGTTGGTTCCACAGTCTAGCTATTGTGAATTGTGCTGCTATGAACATTGTTGTAGCAGTGTCCCTATAGTACGCTCTTTTAAGGTCTTTAGGGAATAGTTCAAGAAGGGGAATAGCTGGGTCAAATGGTGGTTCCATTCCCAGCTTTCCAAGGAATCTCGATACTGCTTTCCAAATTGGAAGCACCAAGTGAAACCTTGTCTTAAAATAAAAAATAAAAAAGAGTTGGAAGGGGCTAGGGTTGTGGCTCAGCGATAGAGCGCTCGCTTAGCACTAGCGGGACATGGGTTCGATTCTCAGCACCACATAAAAAAAGGCATTGTGTTGTGTCCATTTACACCAAATAAATAAATATTTGAAAAAAAAAAGAGTTGGGAATGTAGCTTAGTGATAGCCTTTGGGTTCAATCCTTAGTATAAAAAAAATCACTTATCTAGTTAAAAAGTTTTCAGTACTTTATGCAATTCATAAATGAATTTCCTGCACATAGATCTTTTTCCAATTATATTCAGTTACTCAAGAATGTGATGTTTTCCTCTATGTGTGATGTTTTCCTCTATGTATTTAAGTGTTCTTTTGTGTTCACTTTTTAAATTCATATAGGACTTACATAAATATTATTAAAAAGTTTATTGATAAGAATGATAATTTTATTTTTTGTACCATGGATTTAACCCAGGGGTGCTAAGCCACTGAGCCACATCCCAAGTCTTTTGTATTTTTTAATTTTGAGACACTATTACTGAAGCTAGCCTTAAACTTTGAATCCTCCTGCCTCAGCCTCCTGAGTTGCTGGGATTACAAGCATGCAATACTGTGTCTGGCTATTATAAGTACAAGAACAAAAAGCAATGATTAAATTCTGTACTGTTATAGAACTCATTCATGTATTGTTAAGCTGGCAAATAGTGGGAATCAAATCACCATGCTGTTTATATTTCAATGGATATATTTAAAAGTGTATTGTCTTAATTTTGTTTATAATGATCAATATTTGCATACTCTAGAAGTTGTATCAAACTACAGGTTGAACATTCCTAATTTGAAAATTTGAAATCCAAAATTCAGAACTTTTTGAACATGACACTAGAAATGGCATATTCCATAACATAATACTTTGTTTCAAGTACAAAATTACTTATAAATTGTATACAAAATATGTATAAGGCACTTAGGAAACAAAGAAATTTGTGCTTAAAGGAAAAGATAAATGAATTTATGTTTAAATTTGGGCCCCATTCCCAAGATATCTCATTATGTATATGCAAATATTCCAAAAAAACATATATATCCAAACCCTAAAACACTTCTGGTCCCAAGCAGTTTAGATTAGGGAGACACAACCTGTATTTTAATCCCCACTGAAATTCAATAATGTCAACTGAAGAACCTTTAGTTGGAAAGGCAGCTGATGCTGCTGAAGAGTAGAGTTCCCCTCTGCTTGGACAAGTGTTGGGTAGCCTGATAGGGCTCTTTCCGCTAAGTAGAGGCCCATGAGGTGGTTCTGCTCTGCCTGGCACAATGGGACTAACCCCTCCATCCTCTACTCAGTACCCGAATATTTGTGACCAAGGTAAGCTCTTGATCACTGGCTCTCAGTTCAGGCAGGGAACTTGTTTGTGGGTATTATTCATGTTAGAGAAGGGAAAGTAACTCTGAGGAAGATGAAAGCCAGGATTTCCCAGTTGATCAAACACAATGAAGCCAGAGCTTGGGGGTTTTGAATGACGCGTCCGTCTCTTAGGAGTTGTGTGTTTTGTTACTTTATTTGTGCAGTGCTGGGCCTCAAGCATGTAAGCAAGTGCTCCACTACTGAGCTCCACCCCGAGGTGCGTTCTTAAAGTCAGTCAATCTCGGTGCAGATTCCTCATCCTGACCTAAAGGGAAGCAGGGCTTTCAAAGCAGTGCTTGGCAGAGTGCGTACCACACCCACGGGGCCCACGCCACACGAGGAGGGCCCACCAGCAGAAGAAACGGAGGTCGCCCGCCCCACGCGGCGGAGCCGGATTGCCGGGATAGCGTCGCTAGCGAGGAGACCTGGGCAGCGGACGGCCGAAGAAGGTGGTGATCCAGGACTGTCACTCTCTCGCCGCAGGGGCTGTTTCATTCAGGCGAACCCAAGCATACTTCCTTCACAAGAAGTTAAATACTATAACTATGTCCCGGCACGTTCTTTTCTCTACTCTGTATTAACCTGTGCAACTCGACCACCGCCTACTAGAGGAAGCCCTCAGCGCCAGCTAGGGTCTCCGGAATCCGCGCGAACAGGCGTGTCAGCCCATCCGGGCGTCTCGGGCACGCAGGCAGGAGCGCGCACGCCGTCGCGTCACGCGCCACGCGCGTCCCCGGTCCGGCGCGCTCCGGGCGGAAGTGAGGTCTGTGGCTCCGGTGCTGCGCAGCGTCGGAGTGGAGCGCGGGCTGCGGAGAGGCGGGTCGGGCGGAGCAGAGCAAACGCGAGTGCGGCCCCCGAGCGGCGGTGGAGACGCGGGCCGAGCAGCTCAGTCCGCATCGGAACAGGCCTCCGTGGCGCTAACCCTCGCCTTGACCCTCGACCCATCCCGCCCAGGCGGGCGAGCGCTGGTTACCCAGGCCCAGGCCGCCTCGCGCGGCTCGGTGAGTGGGGCTGCTTGGCGGGGGCGGCACGCACGCCCTCCCCAGCCCCGGCCAGCGGGCGGGCCGGGGCGGTGGCGCGGACGGAAGTGCAGTGCTTTGTGCGACCAGCTCGGGGCGGCGCCAAGGTCGGGCCGGTGGCTGGGGGTCGCTGGGCGCCAGACTGGGCCCTGCTGCGCTTTGTCCGCTGGCCGAGCGGGGGCCCGGGCGCGGGCAGGTGCGGTCTGTGTGGCTGGGGGCTGCGGCCCAGGTGGCCAGCCAGGGGGGTATTCATGGCGCAGGGATGTCCTCTCGGCCTTTTAAAGGTCGCAGTCACCAGAGCAAGAGAGTATGGAAAACAGGGGAACATTGGGGTGGCGTTTCTGTAAGTCAGATTTGGTATTCTTGGGTTTTATCATTTCGAATTATTCACTTTATCTACAAAGTAAGATTCATTTGCTTTGTGGAAATTGAGCGTCCTCCCCTTGCTTGAAAACGCACCATTTAAATTAAGATTTTAAGATTTTCTTCAGAAAGGACATTTTGTGGCACAGTGTGGGTAAACTTTGAAAAAACAAAGTGCACCTTTCCGGTGTCCACAAACAGGGTGTTTCTCCTTTGTAGTGTGTGCGAACGTGCATCCAGTGGATTGTATGAGTTAATGTTTAATAATTAAAGTCACTCATAAACATGTTTTGGAGTGTTTTGGCATGCACAGAAGCTTTAAAGAAGATTTATGTAGTTCATTTTCCTTAAAATTTCCAGTCATCCTTGTATAATTTCAGACTACTTTCTCAAATATTATGAAAGGTTTTAGGTTTTTAAATTTGGCTTTGGCAATTATAAGGCATTTAAACTTTTGTAGGTGAAGAAGTTAGTGGGTTGTTTTTGCTTGTCAGTGAAGACTTCAGCAGTCTAAGGTTACATTTTGTAATGGTAACTACTGTGGTGGAAATTATGAAAATTTTACCTTTCCTGGTCCTTATAAAGTGCACTGAATTTGGTAGAGTGCGTTCTCATGCAGTATTTTCAGGTTACCAGTATTTTCAGCTTGGCATGCAAGCTTTCAAATAAGTTAAAATTAGTTGTGATTTTGACTAAAGGAAAGTTTAGGTCTGGTGGGAGGCGCTGCGGGCTTCTAGTTGGAGACTGCTGACTTATAAGGTTCTCCTGGGTGTTCACTTTGCAGCAGTCACTGAAAATGTCCAAGCAGATAGTGTCCTTTTTCTGCCTCCTGCCTTTCAGAATAGTAAAAGGATTTAGGTTGTGCCCTAAGGCAAGTTCCTGAAACTCCAAAGGAAGGAGGGAGCAGCATGTGCTGTTACTGCCCAAACCTTCTTATTAGAACCTAATATGTTAAGATTTACTGTAAACTAGTTTTTAACCCATATTCATTTTAAGATTGAACAGAATTGTAACTTGAAAATTATTTGAATTCCAAACACTGGGAAATTAAGAAAAGCATAATGCTGTAAAAGTAGATGAGAATTTTGGGGAAAAAAATCTGAAGTGCATTTAAAATATTTTAATTTTTTACAGGCTCTGTGGTTTAAAGGGAAATTTTTGTCTTTCTAGCTTGTCTTATATAGACAGTTTCTTTTCCTGCACCAATTGGAACAGTTTTTAAACAGCAGTGTACCAGCACAATAGACTAATTCTTCACTCATGTCTATGTTTCCCTGAAGTCTGTCCAAGTGTATTGTGCAGAAATTTGTGAATTTCTCCCAGTAGACTGCATATGTTGGTAGTGAAAGTAGACTGGGGAGAGTGGAGAACTTTCTTTTATTATGTACTTTTCTGGATGATGTCAGTGTTACTGAGAAGTTCCAGTGTTGATTAAAGAGTATTGTATGTTGTATATTGGAGTCTCTGAAAGAGAGTTTAAGCCCCATAAAATCAGGGTTGTTGATAGGAAATCTAAAACATTAGGCTTTAAAAAAAATTTTAATATAATTTTTAGTTGTAGATGGACACAAAACTTTTTTTTAAAAAAATTTATTTTTATGTGGTGCTGAGGATTGAACCCAGTGCTTCACAAGTGCTAAGACAAGTGCTCTACCACTGAGCCACAACCCCAGCCCCTAAAATTTTATTATTACTATTTTGTGTAGGAGCTTTGTTTATTTATTTAGATCATGATATACTTTAAAACTAGAGATGATGCAGTGATGGCTTTTTAATTTTAAAGATTCCTGATTGTTCTGATTGGGATTTTCAGGTTGAGGAATTTTTGCTGTCATCAAATCTAAGATTTTTCTTTTCTTGTGTAGGTGTCAAACCGCCCATAGTAATTCTGACAGTTGAATCATTTCAAGTGGAAAACTTTAAAGAAGTGGTACCCTGTGGTTCCAGCCTTGCGATTGGGTTCCTTGGTCTAAGCCAAGTCAGAACTAGGAAACTGGTAGTTTCTGGATAACTAGTGGCCTTAGATTCCAGGCAGGTTGGTGATGGTTTTTTTTTCTTTCGTTTTTCATTATGCAACTGAAAAAAGTGCAGTACACTATATGCTCATGTATGCAACATCCTGATGTACAGATTATTAGCATTTTACTGTATTTGCCCATTTTGGTTGAAGTGTTTTAAATTAAAGACATGTCTTTATGTACTTTAATATGTATCTCTAAAAAATTATGTATACATGCAACCTCAAATATACTACACATAGCGTATCATCTGATACTAATTTGGGTTTTGTTCCAAATATCCTTAAAATTTTTTTTTTTTTTACAGTTTTTAAACTCTAAATCAGAATCCATACAAAATCTGTTTGTTTCCTTTATGTCTAATCTTATTTAAAAAAAATTTTTTTTTGTAGTTGTAGATGGACAGAATGCCTTTATTTTATTTTTATGTGGTGCTGAGGATCAAACCCAGTGCCTCACACATGGCTAGGCAAGTGCTCTGCCACTGAGCTACAGCCCCAGCCCATAATCTATTTTAATTTAGGACTACCCCCACCCCTGTGCCTTTTTTTCAGATGAATGACTTATTGAAGAAACTGAGTCATTTGTCCTCCAGAATGCCCCATCTTTTGGTTTTGCCTGATTCCTCCATACCTCCAACTCCTTGACTTTTCCCCAGAACTGGAAGTTAGAGGCATAAAAATATATTTGACTTCTGTAGCAGTACATCTTTGATGATACATAGTAATTCATATTTCATCATGTAAGGATGCAGATAGTTAAGTAATTTGACTCTTGGTGATGTTAGGTTTGATCTTTAGGTTCAGGTTTCAAGTCTACTAATCAGTAAACAGATTATGTTTCAGTAACTCTGAACTCAAGTTAATATTACTATGATAAATCCCATATGTTCTGTTGAATAATTCTTCAGTTATTCTTGCACATTCAAAAAATACTTAAGAACTTCACTTTGTGAGATGGAGAGAGGCCATGTGGATCAAGGAATTTCCTCAGTTCTTTGGGATTATAGTATTGGGGGAATGAACAAATAATTTGAGCTTTTTGGTGTTTGTTCAGAGAGATGTGTCTGTTATAAGTTATTTTTTGCCTCTGTCAAATTGTTACAAAACTGCAACACTTTCATTAATCCTGTAATATTTTATCTACATGTAACTTTTAATTCATTAAAATGTTTTAATAACTTTAGAAAATATATATTATCAGCTTCTGAGGAAGTAGAAATTCTTTCAGGAAATGTAATCTCAATTCAGACGTGGTTCTGTGAAATTTTTAGTGGCACGTGGGTTAAACTGTATCATTAGAGGTCTAGACTGTAAGGCTATGGAAGGGGAGCCTCGTGGTTTCCAGTGTATTTGAGTTTTTTTTTTTTTTTTTTTGCAATTTTTGGCTATCACAGCACAGTGATAATTTGTGTAGTTTTTGATGTATAGTTTTCATTTTGTATACCTAGGAATGTAGTTTTTATTTTGTATACATAGGAATGGTATATACCCAGGGAATGGGTTGTGCTGTTTATGAGCTTCATTGCCTGTCATACGATAGCTGCTTGCTCAACCCACATTTAAGGGTCTCCACCTGCTTGTAACCTAACCTGTTTCTCCATAGTCATTTATTGCTGATTCCTACTTGTAACCTAAGCTCCAGATATACCCAGCAGTCTAATATTTGCAATATGGGTCTTGAATTTTCTCATTCCTGTGGCTAGTTGTGAAATTTGGAAATGCTGCCTCTTGAATCATGTTTCCTGATTATTCCTCCCTCCCCTATTGAATTTTTGTTCTCTCCATTCAGCTCTTAGAACAATTTATTCACTTGTGACTCTTAATACTCTGCCCTGTATCACAATTATTCATGATTTTTGTTTTAATTCTTATAGGCCTGTGCTGTTCAGAATAATAGCTGTAACTTACATCTGATTATTTAAGCTGAAAATTCAGTTACCATATTTGGACAGCACAGACATAGTTTCCAACTTTGCAGAAAATTCTGTTGGACAGTGCTTTTTCTAGATTGTAAATTCAGAAGGGAGGTACTGTGACTTCTTCCTTTCTCCATGGCTTTTGCATAGTGTTTTGCTAATCTCATGTTCAGTTAAGAAAATAAAATTAGATTTTGGCACAGAATGCAGAGAACTAGAGTTTGGGAAATATTTATTTCTTGAGAAATGATAGTTAAACCTGAGAAGTTAATGAAGTATTTGAGAACCTTCATGATTCCTATGTTGTAGATCTCCAAGAGTAGGTTAAAAGTGTAGAGGAATTGGATTTGGCAATTGCCAGTTTGGGGGATAAAACACAATTGATCCTTCTGCTTACCTGCTTCCTTTCTTGTTTTTTCTTTATTTTGTAGGTCTGTGCTGTCCAATGTGGTAGTCCTGGACATATGTGACTAAGTTGAAGTTAAATAAAGATGAAACATGAGATCTTGCACCAGCCACATTTTTTCAGGTGTTCATAGTCACTCTAGGCAAGTGGCTGCCATAATGAACATCAGGAAGGGAAGAACATTCTGATTAAGATATCATTTAACTGTAGTTTTGGATGTAGCAAATCTAGCTTTGGTTTAAAAGTCTTAAAAAAAAAAAAAGAATTGTTCTGTTGATAAATGCCCTTATCTCTGATGCTGTCAATTTATTCTTACTGAATTTGTTACAGAGGCTAAGGTTGTGAGCTAGTTTATTCTGCATACTGAACTGCTTAGCTGTGACTTATGAGTTAGGTGAGCTGAAAATTTGAAGTGCTTCATTTTTGTGTTTTGTCTTTATTTTTATTTATTTATTTATTTTTGTGGTGCTGGGGATTGAACCCAGGGTCTTGTGCATGCTAGGCAAGCACTCTGCCAACTGAGCTATATCCCTAGCCCTGTGTTTTGCCTTTAATGGAATTAAAAAACTAGAGTTTTAAAGTGTGTGTGTGTGTGTTTTTAAGAAAGTGAGTAGGTATTTGAACCTATTTTGTAAGAAAACAGCACCAAGTGTATGTTCTCTGCTTTTGTGGGCCTGTATTCTAATTGGACATGTGGAGAAGGCATACACTGAAAAAGTAAACTAATGTACATGTAATGTGTGGGTTTTTCTACCGCCCCCACCCCTGCCCCCAATTAAAAAACAGAACTTTTAGCCAGGAGTCATGGTGCTCACCTGTAGACTCACCTACTTGAGAGTCTGAGATAGGAGAATCAGTTGAGCCCAACAGTTTGCTTGAACAACATAGACCCGCATCTCAAAAACAAACATCAAAAAAAAAAAAAAAAGGAAACAAGAAGTGTGGGGAACTTTTTCAGAGCAGTTTTAGATTCACAGCAATATTCAAAAAAATTCAGAGTGCCATACATACTTCTTTCCTCACACAGTTTTTATGTAAATTAAAGATCATCTTGCTCTTTTCAGTCACATAATCCCTGGGGCCAAAAAAGAGTGACTTACTGGATGAGGACTAGGGAAAGCTCATACTTAAGTTGAGAATCTTATTTTAGTTAGGGAAGGAACAGAATCATAACTAAATGTTTGAACTTTTCAGGAAAAAAAAAGATTAGTGAGTTTTAGAACATTGAGTGGGTTAATGAATAGCTGGGCTGTAAGCTAATTTTTCTTTTTTTAGGAAAAAAAATCAAGTTATTTTTAAAAATACAGAAAAGTGAGGAGGAACACTAAACCCAACTCATGTAGAGATAATTACCTTAATGTTTTTATGTTTTCTTCCACACTTATTTCCATGTGTTGGAGGTGCCAGTGACCATAAGTTGATGTAAATTTGGGCTCAGTATTGTACCCTACTTTTTTCACTTAACATTGTATCAATCTTGTGCTTTTTTGTGGACCCAGGATCAAGCCCAGGGCCTAGTGCTTGCCAAGCAAGCTCTCTTAACACTGAGGTATACCTCCATTTTCCGTAAATGATTTTTTAAAAGCACCTGCATATTTCATGGCTTGGATATATCTTAACTGTTCTTTATTAAAAGGACATTTAGGTTATATGAAGAATGTTTTTTCTTATATAGAGAATACTTTTTCCTGTTAGTTTCTGATGGACTGAAGAGAGTTGTAAAGAACTAAAGAACTGTTTATAACATCCTGGTTGGGCATTAATTAAAACATTTGGCGTTCATTTTGTGTTGTCTGCTAGTTGGGAGAAGCTTGAAACACCTTTTAGATAGGCTAGAGAATTAGATAGGCTAGAGAAAGATTCTTAGTACGTGCTCTTTTGGGGACTGATACTGGAGAAAAAATCTTGAGAACAAAAACACTTGGCTAAATCACTTTTTTTTTTTTTTTCCTTTTAGTTCTTGAAATCATGAATCCCGTTTATAGCCCTGGATCTTCTGGGGTTCCCTATGCAAATGCCAAAGGAATTGGTTATCCAGGTAAGTGAGTAGAATTTTTCATTTTTGATCACTTGGTATATTTCCATAGCATTGAAAATATTTAGAGTGGACAAGGAAGAAGATAAATGAAAATGAAAAATTAAGAGACAAGACTGGCTTTGATCAAAGTTTAATTTAGTAGTTTCAGCAGTTGGGACCAAGATCTTGTTTATCTAAGTTGGTCTGGTAAGCCTCACTTCCTCATCTTAGCTTAATAGTAGTCACAGGTCCTATTTGTTCCTCCCCATTGTGGCTCAGCCCTCATAGCAATCTTTCACTTTATTTCTGCCCTGTAAGAAAGCCCCAAAGGCTTTTTATTTCCTATTTATATCATATCTAGGGTTTGTCCTGATGGAACTTTAGTTTCATCCCTGGGTCAGAGAGGACATACTTCTAACTAAGGCCTGAACAGTACCGAGTCAGCAATGGTTGTCCTGATTGGTGACTTTGAATAAAGGATAAGTATTTGCAATGTTATTATTTCTTCGCGGATTTTAATAATATGGTTGATAACCCTAAAACCTTGTTACAAAATCCTTAGAAAATGAGCTGGGTACCGTGATGCATGCCTGTAATCCCAGTGGCTCTGGAGGCTGAGGTAGGAGGACTGTGAGTTCAAAGCCAGTCTGAGCAATTTAGCAAATTCCCAAGCAACTCAGTAAGACCCTGTCTCTAAATAAAATATTTTTAAAAAGTGCTAGGCGGGGATGAGGTTGTGGCTCAGTGGTAGAGCGCTTGCCTACCATGTGTGAGGTGCTGGGTTTGATCCTCGGCACTATATAAAAATAAATAAAATAAAGATACTGTGTCCAACTACAAATAAAAAAATATTAAAAAAAATAGTGCTGGAGATGGGCTTAGTGCCCCTGGGTTTAATCCCTAGGGTCAAAAAAGAAAAGAAAATGGAATAAAACATTTGCAAATGTATACCTGAACTTGCAGGAGGGAAAAGGATTGTCTAGGGCCAAATATGGGAGTGGTGTGAAATCCATTTTATTTAACCATTAAGGTAAGGGGTCTGTCTAAGAGGTATTTGTTGTTTGTGGATTGTAACAATCCACATGGGAATAGGCTTCAGATTTTGTGAGACAGTAAGTAGGAGTGGGCTCTCATCAATTGGTTTGATTTCTAGAGAGTTGATCTCCAGGAAAGAGGTGGTCCCACCCAGAAGCTTGAGTCTGCATGGGCTCTGAGAAGGAGGGATGGCTTTCCTAAGATTTTGTAGCCATTTCGGGGATGTTTAGAACACTGATTTGCATTACTGTGCATTTCCTAGGGGCTCCAGAAGTTTAGAAGCCAACATAAAAAATATTCTTCAACTTGCATTTCCCCTAGAGCCCCTGACAGAATGCGTAAGTGCTGTGGAGGCATTTGTCCTCAACCCAGCTTGCGTGGGCTTCCCACAGACAAAATTCTGCCTGCTTGCATGAAAAATCATTATAAGACACAGGGTGCTGTCAGGTGAAAGTCACCAGTCATGACTGTTTGCTGTGTCACACCGACAATTTTAGAATAATTACAAATGGAAAAGAAAGAATCAAAAACATAAGAGGGGAACAGTATGCTGGGAGAGAAAAATTAACCAATCAGAACTTAAAAATGGCAAAAAAAAAAAATTGGACAAAATTTAGGTTAATTTGCTTGTAGAACACTGCTAAAGTGAGAACCAGAAAGCAGTATTAGGATTGGAGGGCGGGGGGAATAGACTGGCTAAGAAGTTTGAGGAGAATGAAGTGCTCCAGGAAGCATAAACACCAGCTCTGTATAGTGGTATTAATGCTGAAATGTGTGTATTTGTTCTTCCTCTTTGGTTGGCCATTGACAGGGATTGGTAAACTCTACATGAAGGTCCAGGTAGTAAATATTTTAGAATTGTATAGCTACTCAGCTCTGTCTCTGTAGCACAAAAGCAGCCTTTGGCAATACTCCGTGTGGTGTGTTCCAGTACAACTGTAAAAATGGGTGGTGGGCCCTGTGGGTTGTTGCTGACACTTGGTTAAGAGAATTTTTGGAGTAAGCTGCTTTTTTTACCCCCTCTCACATTTTTTATTTTATTTTGGAGTCTAAAAATTACATTTAAAAGAAAATTTCTGTAATTTTAAAGACGTTTAAAATTTTGTATCTTTTTACATAGTTTTTGCCTTCATTTCCTTATACTTATTTTCTATTTTCTTGGTTTTGAGATTTTTATGTCTCTCTTACTTCTGTACAACTTTATGAGAGGGGCTGGAGTTGTAGCTCAGCAGTAGAGTGTTTGCCTAAGCTACGTGCGAGCCCCAGGGTTCAATCCCCAGCACCACATAAAAACAAGATAAAGTAAAGGTGTTATGTCCAACTACAACTAAAAAATAAATTAAAAAAAAAAAAACTTTATGAGTGAGGTTTCAATGCAGGACTCTAGGTCATTTAAATCGGGGAGTCAAAAATATGGGAAGATGTGCCTGCAGGAGGTGACGGCCAGCATAATTTCAACCAAAAGCTGACAAGACATTTTAATATAGGAAAGTACTTTTGTGCTTTAAAAAAAAATTATTTTTTTAGTTGTAGTTGGACACAATAACTTTATTCCATTCATTTATTTTTATGTGGTGCTAAGGATTGAATCCAGGGCTCTGCGCATGCTAGGCTAACGCTCTACTGCTGAGCCACAGTCCCAGCCCCCTTTTGTGTTCTTTTATACTCTTACTGACAAATGGAGAGACTGGTTCTATTACTGTTATTTTTATTTACACTTAAATAGGAAACTCTTCTCAGAAATGCTTTATATTTTGTTATAATTACTGATATAATTGATTTATATCCAGAATTTTGTTTTCTTTGCTCATTTTTCTCTTGCCATCATTTGGATTAATCAAACATTTTTATTTAATTCTTCTATTAGTTTTTTTTTCACTATTCTCTTAATGGTTACTATAATATAACATTTTAAACATCTTCTCTTTCTCCTTTTGTATTATTGTTGCCATGCCTTAAGACATTACTGTTTTTATTTTGTGCAGTCAACAGCTATTTTTTTTTTTTTTTTTTTTTTTTTTTTTTTTTTAAAGTGTGTTTGGAGGGGGGGTGGTCCAAGTCCCGCACCGAACCGAGTCAAACGAGTAAGTCATGCAGGCAGAATTCACATTGAGACCACTGGTGGACCTGGGGGGGGGGG